CAAAAAAAAAAAAAAAAATTCACTGATAAAAACAGATACACTGAAACTTTGAGAAGATAAAATAGAGAAAGCATTTGAAGACATAGGTATAGAAAAAAACTTCCTGAGCAGAAATCCCATAGCACAAGAAATAATATCAAGAATCAACAAACGGGATTGTACTAAATTAAAAAGCTTCACACAGAAATGGCAACCATCAACAGAGTGAAGAGAAAACCTATGGCAAGGGAAAAATTTTGCTAGTTATTTTCTGATAGAGGACTAATATCTAGAATACACAAAGAATGAAAAAAATAGACCCCCCCAAAACAAATGAACCAATCAAAAAATGGGAAAATGAAATAAATAGATGCTTCTCAAAAGAAGTATCTTTGCCCATCATAAAATGCAAATAAAACCCCCAAACAAACAAACAAACCCAAAACACCCTGCGATTGCATTTTAGTCAGAATAGCTATCGTAAAGAACACAAAAAACAACAGGTGCTGGTGAAGATGTGAAAAAAAAGGAACCCTTCTATGTTATTGGTGGGAATGTAACTATTACATCCACTGGGGAAATAAGTATGGAGATTCCTGAAAAACCTGAGAATAGAAATTTCTTTTGATCCAGCTATACCTCTCATGGGTATTTTTCTGAAAGAGTTAAAGGTATTGTAGTGATACATTCATACCCACGTTTACAGCAGCAAAATCACAATAGCTAAACAGTGGAAAGGGCTTAGATGCCACCAACAGAAAAATGGAAGGAGAAAATATTTTGTATACATAATACATATGTGTGTATGTATTTCTGCATACATATGCACAATGGGGTATTATTCAATAATAAAGAAAGATGAACTAGAGCTATTTGTAGCAAAACAGATGGCTCTTGAGCCCATAATGTTAAGAGAAATAAGTTAGACACAGAGGGCTAAATATCTCATAGTTTCTCTTATATGAGAAACTTAAAATATAAATAAAGAGTAAAAGAAAGGAGCTATGGGAGGAAACAGGGAGGCAAACTTTTCTGGAGATAGGGAAGGAGGTCAGTGGAAGGAAAATGAGGGCAGGGGGAAAAGAGCTTTGAAGATGATCAAATTATATATATTATATTATATATCAATTCCCCAACCTGAATGTCCTTGGGTAGCACAAATATGTATCAGTGAAACACTGCCACTACAAAAAGATTTGGTTTACCTTTTTATTAAGTTTTTGCATAACTTTATTACTATAATTTGATGGTTAATGTTAGAAGAGCTTAACTTATTTTACTGATGCCCTATTATTGGACATTTGGGTTGTTTCTGATTTAGAGCTATTATTTACTGATCCCCTATTATTGGACATTTGGGTTGTTTCTGATTTAGAGCTATTATAGACAGTGCTGTAGTATGCATCTTCAAAAGGATTTCTTTCTTTCATATGTTCATATTTTTCTTTTTAGTGTAAATTCTCAACATTGAACTTAGGACCTTGTACATGCCAAGAACACACTCTACTACTGAGCTATATTCTCAGCCCCATAATTAATATTTTTATGATGTGTGACATGTACTTCCTTTATTTGAATGATGTGGGTCAAAAGAGCTATGCCTACATTTTTAAAGATCTTCCACTTGCACATCCATATTTTGAGAAAATGTCTGCCTCAACTTTCTGTCAATGTTGTTATAATCATTAATTTTTCATGCTTTGGGGCTCTTAGCGGGTACAGTCTCCCATGAACTGACCATCTGCAGACCTGGGCCAGGCGCAGAAACTATAGGAAACCGCATGGGCTAAGTTCAAGGAAATAAATCACTCTTGAGAGGTTGGGAGAAATTGTGCCTATAAAATCCATCTGTACCATATATAGTACTATCTGACCCAAAAATCTCCACTTAGCAGAATAGATATGAAGTGTGATTGAAATATACAATGAATGTTTAAATTTAAAAATTTCATTACAGTAAAAGACATGTTGCTATTAATTCCCTCCCCTCAAAAACCCACCACCCCTCACCTCAGACATACTGACCCCATTATCTCGCCACTTTCTGTGGCCATTCTGGAAGTCCTCTTTTGTGAGCATCTTTACGAGGTGTGGTTTAAAAAGTGAATTCTGCTGCTGAGTACCGTACAATGAAACGGCAGTCTTGTAAAGACATCAAAGTGTCCTCATCTGTCTTATTCACCAGATCTGAGGCCTGTGTGACTTTTGGCTTTTTCTCAAACTCAAAGCGACCATGAAAGAAAAACCTTTTGAATCCATTTAGGACACGGAGGCAGCCATGACAGCACAACTAGACGCTCACCCAGGAGGACTCCAGAACTGCTTCAGAGAGGGGCAAGAATGAAGGGATAAGCACGTTCAAAGTCAGGTGGGACTATTTGGGGGGAGGTCTGATGACAATGTGTCTGTACTGTAATATAATTTTAAAACTTTAAACATTCACTGTGTAATGTGGTCAGACTGCCTAGGTGTAAGATCAAAAATGTCAGTCATTCTACTTAAGGCTTTTTTTTGTCCGGAGCAATAATGCGCAAATGATGCTGGCTGTTCATGAAGCTGGCTACACACCGTGGCTTGTCAGCCGAGGTCCCTGAGCATCTCTGCTGTTGATGGAAATGGCCTCTTTTGCTGAGCCTTTCCACGGTTATTTGCAGTGCACTTTTATGTTTATTAATAGTTTGTGTGATCTCCTCCTTGTGACCCAGAAGGACTCAATGAATAGAGTACTATGATCCTGCATTACGGAAGGGTTGTGCCTACTGACGATCTCATCAGTGAATATACCTATAAGCAACTAGATTTTTTTTTGAGACAGGCTCTTGCTATGTAGTCCAGGCTGGCCTTGAACTACTTATGTAGCCTAGGCTGGCCTCGAACTCACACCAATCCTCCTGCCTCAACCTCCCGAGTGCTGGGATCACAGGCATGCACCAGTATGTTCGGCTGCAGCTAGGTTATTGAAACTTCACCAGTTCTGGGAATTGTCACTAACACCTTTCTTGGAGGAGCTAGTTTCAACATGATGCCATTGGAAAATGACACTACATGCTGACATATTTGATTACTAGTTAGAAAAACTCAGTGCTTAAGTTGTTCTTATTTTAAATCAAATTTGATAATACAGAAACTGGCCTCTGGAAAGTTGGTTTTTAGTGTTGAGTGCTAAGTAATACTTGTCATTTAAGGGAAATCAATCTAATATTGACCTCAGATTATTCCACAAGGAAATCACAGATTTATTGCACATACATAAATCCTAAGGCTTATGAAATTTGGGTACTGATATTGTCTATATGAACCTAACAATTTCTGTTGTTGCCTGGCATACAAGTTATGGTGACCTTGAATACTCTGGTGTTTCTTTGTAGCACTAACTTCTGCGAAGAAGATGATAATTAAGCAAGGAAAACAGGAAGAGGACACTAGCACCTGTGGAAGGCACAATTTTAAGATGAACCCCAGTGAGTCACACCGTTGTGTAAATCCTTTCTTGGTGAGTGTTGGTGGAGGCCGCAATTGCTTTCAGCAAATAGAATATGGATACTTACCCTTGTGTTTTGCTGTTATTACACAAGACTTTACTGTAGCAGAATGTAGAGAAAGACTGGCTTTGAGCTACCACGTGCAAAGAGCCACTGGAGTCTGAGGGGCTGGGACCCAAAGAGAAAACAAGGACCTTATACCTACAGCTGCAAGGCTACATATGTGTGGGCGAGGATCTCTGAACTCCAGAAAGAACAGCAGCTGGGCCATCACCGGGACTGCAGGCTTGTGAGCTCCCCAGCAGAGGACCCAGTCAAAATGATGACCAGAGAAACTGAAATGAGCGACAGATGCTGTTTTAAGCCATTGAACTAGTGCTAACTTGTCACTTAGTGATTGAAATTTTATCAGGAGGGGGAGTTTAAACCTCAGCTCTGCTGCTTACTAGCTCTTTAGTTGTGACAAACTGCTTAACCTCCCTGAGTCTTTTTAACCTCAACTTTAATATAGGAGTAAAAATGTAACTATAAAGCTATATAAAAACTTGATTCAGTGCTTCTCATGCTTAGTTCAAGGTGATGCAGACTGAATAAAAGAGTGTGCATAGTCACTTAGCACGGGACCTGATCCATACTTCTCAGGAAATGTTTTTCACTGTGACAGAGGAATGTTTTTCATCCTATAATTCTAAACGTTTTCATCCACGTATCCAGTGTTTTCAAGATTTTTTTTTTGCCATCATATTAACTAGACTTACCAAATGTAATTCATTCACTCATGTGTTTCTGGTTCATTAGCTACACAGAGCTTCTGATCAGCTTGGGATATTCTAAATAGGACAATGACAGTCGATATAAAAGGAGTGATCAGTTAATGTTTCAATAAAAAAATGTATCACAATCATAGACACATTGCTATGAATCCCCTGCAAAATACTTCCTCTTTCTTCGAACACACTTATCTCACCTTGCTTACCACTTTGTGAAGCAGTTCTGGGGGACCTCTTTCAAGTCTTTTGAGGGGTGAGAAAAAATAGGGTGAATGTCTTTGCCAAATGCCATCCAACAGACAGACTCCCAAAAATATTGTGGTGTGTCCTCACCCACCTTATTGGCTGAATCTGGCACTGTTCAACTTCTAAATCTTTCACAAAGTCAAAATGACCATCAAAGGAAGATGTTTTGAATCAATTTAAGAAATGGAGGCAGCCATGACAGCTCAACTGAAGACACTCAAGAAAGAAGATTTGCAGAACTGTTTCAGAAAGTTTGAAGCAAGAGGGAAGTATTTTTGAGGGGGTATTAAGGTAATATGTCTTTTTATCTTTTATTTTTATTTTTTTAGAGGCAGGGTCTGACTATGTAGTTTAGGCTGGCCTTGAATTCACTATGTGGCCCAGGCTGGCCTTGAACTCATGGTGATCCTCTTGCTTCAGCCTCCCAAGCGCTGGGATTACAGGCATGCACCCCCACACCCAGTTTAATATCTCTTTTATGGTAATAAATTTTTTAAAAATTTAAACATATACCATAGTTTTTCATCATATTTTGTAATTTGGCTAGAAGCAAAGCCATTTGGTATTGTGGTTAATACAACAATCACTCACTTTTGAAGTACAAGGCATGGACTGTTGAGCTGCTGGACTGCCAGATTTGGAATCACAATAGTAGTTGGCTGATATAAATAGATGTGGGGTGGCTTCTGTGAGTAAGCAAGGAGCTCATGCTTTGCCTCTGTATGCCACAACTTGTTCAGGTATTGCTGGGAGAGTAAAGATGGCTGGAGGGAAAATGCAAAGGTCAAATGAAATTAGAAAGTTCCAACAAAGAAAAATGAAGATATTAGATTCAATATCAGTATTACTTAGCTGCTTACAACCTGGAAATTAGCTTGAAAATCCTTAGTGTTTTAGGGAATTTTTGTGCAATGTTTATGTTTGAGTGGTAGTGATGTGATGTTCCATAGTTACGTTAAAGTGTTCATATTTTTCAATTTATTTGAGTAAAGCACTAGTATTCGAAGTAAGATTGCTATTTTTTCACTAGTATTTTATTTTATGTTGAAGAGAATAGCATTTCTAGAGTAATTTGTATCAAGGCCTAATATATTTAGTTTTTTAGCTGAATACTTTTCATGTAGATTGTAGACTTGATAGAAAATTGTGTTTATCTAATAGAAGTTTCTTTTATGCAAACTTAGCTAAAATGCTGAGAAACAAAAAATAGTAATGTTGTAAGGAACTGTTTCATCAGGTCTAAAAGTATATTGATTATTTTAAAATGCAAAAAATATAGCCTCAGAAATATATCTGAAAAGTTAAATAAATCAGCTTTTCCATTTTTACTGTTCCTCTGGGATAATTGTACTTTGGATGTCTAAGCACAAATTCTGTAATACAACACACATACGACATATGCACATTCACACAACAGGCCCACATTAACACAACAGATACTACACACAAAACCCACAGACAGGCCAGACACACACAAGTCACACAAATGACATATTTTGGGCTCTGGGAAGACCTGCACAGAGAACTATTAAGCTTTGTTGAACCATGTGCTTCTTAAAGTCAATTAATTTCAGAATCCTTTTTCCCTTAAGGTCACTTTGATTCTCCATGACTTAGTATTTCCTGGAACATGCATGGTGAGTGACAGCTCTATGAGATTTCCGCCAAGAAGTTGACTGTTACATAGGGTAAGTGTGAGCCACCCCAATTCTCTGGGTACAAGATACAAAGCACCATTAAATTAGCCTACAAGTCATGGACAGCACCCCAAAATGTTATAAAGCACATAGAGGCAGGTACTGAAAGTCTGTGTTGCTCTCTCCTCAAGCCTGGTTTCTTTCTCTAGGTGTTACAGTCTGTCATGGTTTGTGTCTGGGTGTCTCCCCAAAGCCTCATGTGGTCATGGGGCAGGCTTTTAGAGTTTGATTGATTCTGGGTGTGAGAGCTACACCCGCCCTGGGGTGGATAGTTTGCATATGTAAGGGACAGGAAGAGGCTGCTTGCCGCCATTCCTCCCTTTTGTGTTTGTTGATTTTACTGTGTTCTGCTGCCATGAGCTGTAGCCCTCTGCCATGTGCCACTCTACCTTGTAACCTGCCAAGTATGGACTAAAAGCTCCACAAACTGTAAGCGAAATAAACCTTTCCTTCCTTAATTTTGGGCATCAGGTATTTTGTCCCAGCAACGAGAGAAAAGTAACCAAGACACAGCCACGTAGCAGGTTTGGCTATAGGTGGTCTCCACCCTGTGGTCCTCTGTCACACAGGTGGAGCCATCCTGCAGGGTAGGAAAACATGATCAATAGCCCCAGGCAGGCAGCTGCGTCTCTTCACCGCTGCTCTCAGCACCCTTGGACTTGACAGCATGATCTGGAACTTTCTCCTTTCTATGTTCCTGCCTCTGAGCACTGAAGGCAACTCCTTATCAGCCTGGCCCCTCTCTCTGTTTATTTCATAAAAAATGAAAAGGAATATATGTCAACACCTTAAGAATGTATGGTGGGGCATGTGGAGGATGCTTAGTCTAGAGATTAAAAAGGTTTTATCTTTGTAAGGAAACTTGGGACACTCAGTGTCAGGATGCCAGGCCACAGCGCTATCCAAGCTCTCCTTAGGGCTTAACTGGAACCTTATTGCTTCAATGAGCATGAAAGGCTTGTGCAGTTCTGTGCATTAATATTTTAGATTTTGAACAAAAGTAAGCTCTTGCAGCGTGACTTCTACTTTATTAAAGAAATTGGATATCTTGGCAACTCCTATATGTCTTTTACCAGTAAATTGCCAATTTATGAAGGCACAGAGCAATGAAAGAACGTGCTAAAAATTACTTTGATTCGATTCACTCAGTATTTGAATACACACAAGGTATTCTGTTATGTGTTTTGCCTATCTGTGTGCTCTGTAAGCAAGAAGTTGGTGTGATATCTTCCCTCTTCAGGGACAGTTTCCACTCATTCAAAGTCTTCTCTGATGGATACAGGCAGACTGAAAACACACTCAAAGCCAACCAGCATTTTCTTCAATGCATAGAACAAAGTAGGTGGACAAGAGGCAAGAATTACCAAAGTAGCCCCAACTTGTAGATGTTTGAAAATTTAGAAGTTAGTTTTCTGATAAAATGACAACTTTATTTTATCACCATTCTGTACTCACCGGTCTCTTCCAGCCTTTATGGTAGTGTCTTGAGTTGAAAACCTTGGGCGAGCCCTTTGAAATGCACATGTCTTAGGAAACTGTGTTGCGATCAGACAGTTGCACCCTGTCTGTAGTACAGAGACAGGAGTTTCCTCAGCTCCTTGGCTAAGATCATTTCTAGAGACTCAAGTCTGTGTGTCAGAATCCTGAGGGTTGCCTGTCAGTTGTGGTATGTTATGGCTTGTGTCTAGATGTGCCCTCAAAGCCTCATGCAGTCACTGGTGGGGTTTTTTCAGAGGTGGCTGAATTTAATGTGTGTGATTACCCATGGTGCAATACTAGGATTGGGATGGATAATTACTAAATCAGTCCACTGATTGGTTTGGTGCCTCATCAATCTTTGTAGCCTAGCTAGACTATAAAAGGAGCAGAAAAAAGTTGCTAAGGTCTCTTGCTTGCTTTGCTACCTTCTGCCTGCCATGAACTATTTTTTCTCTGCAATACCTGTCTGCCAGGCCAACCTGCCTTGGAGCCAGCTGATTATAGACTGAAACCTCTACAAACTGTGAACTAAGTAAACCTTTCCTCCTTTGGCTTTGGGTGTTGAGTATTTTCTTTCCACAGTGAGAAAGATAACTAAAGCATGGTGGCTGTGGTGGTCAGTTTTAGGTGCCAAGTTGGTGAGGCCAGAATACTCAGCCATTTGGTCAAACACTATTCTAGATGATTCTGTGAAGGTATTTTAGGTTAGATTAATATTGAAACCAGCCAGTTTTGAATAAAGCTGATTTCTCTCACTAACCTGAGTGGGTCTTGTCCAATCAGTTGAAAGCCTTAATACAAAAAGGCAACCTCCCTAGAAGAGGGCGGGCTCTGCCAGCAGACAACCTTTGCACTTGAACGGCAATGTCAGCTCTTCCCTGGGTCTCCAGCCTCCCAGCCTGCCCTGCAGCTTTGGGACTTGTCAGGCCCCACAGTCATGTGAGCCAATTCTTAAAATAAATATCAGTATCTTCAAATATACATCCTGCTGGTGCTGTTTCTCTGGAGAGCCCTGACTAGAACATGGTGGTTTTCCATATGCCTTGTGGTCAAACCCATGAGGTGCTTCATAGAAACAGTCCAGATGGCAAGGGCGACTTTCAGCCATATGTGTTGGTCTCCAAATCTGGCTTTGACTTCTGCTTGGACATTAGCCTCTTCGTGAGTCCATGAAAACCCCATGACTGACCCTCCAAACCCAGATGACTCTGCCTCCTGGGGAAACAAACCAGGCTTCTTATGCAGAACTGAGCCAAAGCTCTTGGCACTTTCTCTCCAGCTAAAGTTACATATAGCACATTGCTAACATTGTGCAATTTAGGAATCTATTTGGAATTTAAGCAGTGGACATGTCCAACTGCCAGTATCATAGACGTTTAGTTGATGAACAGTTGAAGGCTCCAATAGCCCTATCTTGTGTTCGGTGCATGGAGGTAGTCCTGTTTTATTTTAGTGCCATTTAATGCAATCTTGATGCACTTCTGCTCATGTTTTCCATTAGATCCTGTGCTGGAGAGAGGACCTATGCAGCCACCTGTGACATTAATGACATTATGCAGCATTAATGTTGGTGATACTAATTAATATAATTATAATGCTCCTGTTCATGGAGTGCTTACTATGTGCCAGGTACTGTTTTACAGGTGACAGACCCCTTAATACTCACACTGAACTGAAGTGAGATCATGTTATTATTATTATTGCCCATTTGACACATGGGGAATGGGACCCTAGCCAGTGGCACTATACAGATAGCAAGTGGCCTGAGGTTGATCAGCTGTATTTATTGGGAAGCAATCCTGGTGCTTCGCTGCTCGCCTTGGGAATTTCCTTGTTGCCTACATCCACGGTCACACACAGCACAGCACTCCCCTAAGCCCACCCTGGAGGACATCATCCTGGGTGGGAGACCTGATGGCTCTTTGCTTCCCACCAGAGAGCACAGCTTCCCAACTTAATGTTTTTCTTCTTGGTTTTCTTTTCCAAGGTTGTTATGGCGTTTGTTCTGGTGTCTAAACTGTCATAACTCCCTTTTTATCCTATTCCTTCTCATTCCCCACCAGCCTGTGGCTCCCTTTTGCTGGGTGCCTGTCCCTTCTCCAGTGAGCCTCAGCAAATGTCCTCATGGGTGCGATGAGGGACCTACTCTTTGCCTTCTCAGCAGCACCTGGATCTCAGCTGTCCCCTGGGGACCCAGGAATCTTGGTATGAGAAGCTTCTCATCCACACAGAAGTACAGTGACTCCTCTCTCCTGAAGCCGACCTAAGATTATTTTGATTCTCTTTCACATAGTTTTTAGCCAAAGTCCAATGTTGCTCATTTCATTTAAGGATGACTGTGCTGAACATGCTAACTTGTAGAGTTGTAAGTTGTCAGCGCTGCTGGTTTTAACCAGAATTCTTTAACTGAGAGGGGCCAGTCTTCTGTTGCGGTCACACACTGAAGAAATCTTCCTGGACCGAAGGAGCTCTCTCCTCAGGGAATCTGCAGGTCTCTCTCTGGAGCAGCCTTCTATTTCTCCTGTGACATGTCCCCTGTCTGTGAGCAGTTAGGCTTCTTCTCTGTGTCCTCATATCCCTGACAGATGAGGAGTCCACAGAGCTGCACATTATAGTACAAGCCTGTGGCAAGATATCTCTGAAGTAGCTTAAAAAATATTGCCTTCCAGTGGCCACTAGCCGCCAGGTGGCCACGTGGGTGCTGCGGAAGGAATGCGCAGGTTGCAGCTGGGAAAGTGGCAGGGCCAGCAGTGGACAGCCAAGGAAGAGTTGGATATCGGTTCGATCCCTAGCAGAGAAGACACAGAATTAAGGGGCTCGGAAACATCTGTGTTGATGCTTTCTCCAAGAACAATGGCTTTTCTGAAGTGACAGACCCCCGTTCTCTGGAAATTAAAGGGTCCCTTTAATTATACGGATCCAGGGCACCAGGGCACGAGAGCTGTTCATATCTGGAGTGTTACTCCTGTGAGCACACTTATAGTCTCTTCTTCAGAAGAAACGTGGATGTTCCTGGAGCACAGAATTGAAGAGAGAGAGAGAGAGAGAGAGAGAGAGAGAGAGAGAGAGAGGCAGTGTAGTGGAGTTGAGGCAACCAATCTCTGAAGTGCATATTTTAAAATTGAGGCAACTGTTTATCTGACTGTGTCTAACAACCATTTGGGAGAAGAAGGGAATGTGTTTTATGAGTCAGATATTTTAAACATCTCATTTGTTATTCATCTCACAATAGAGAAAAGCAGAGTGAACTGTATAAGTAAAATAATTATATTTCATATTCCTGGGTGAGACGGTTGCTGATTCTTTCTTCACTGCCTTAGAACAGACTCTGTGAAGACCCCTTGTATACTTGTAAATGCAAAAAAGGAGTAGATGTTAGTGGAAGTTAACGTGCAGTTCCCTACATGGAGTGGAAAAGAGGCCACGCCGGTTCACAAATTAGAGAGATAGGTATCTAGAGAAAATAATGTTTGAGACTTCTTAAAGACATTACCCCAGCTTAATGCATACATAATCAGAGCATTCTCCACTTAGTTTGGAGGCACTTCATCATTCTTTTCCATCCAGAGAAGACTCACCTCTCTGGTAGGATAACTCATATTCCTTCAGCGTGGCCACAATTCCCACCCATAAACCTTCATCATTAGAGACCTACAGGAGAGCCACATTCTTTTCTTTGGTTTGCCTCTTTAAAATTCTCACTCACTTTCAGTTGCCCTGACACAGCATACACTTCTTCCTCACTTTCATGCTGCTCAGGCCCCCGGTGCACCACCTCAGGACAGCACACTTTCTAGAACTTTCTGGAACTTTCTGATGCACTCTGCCTCTCCAAACACGCTGTGGCCTGAGTTCTGTAAACAAGGAGAGGCATGCATAGACTTGTGGGCATATGAAAATTTTGCCCTTGTGCTTTTTCTCGGTGGGGAGCCCAGGAGGCTGGCCTCATTTCAACCTCCAGCTCTTTCTTTTTATGAAGATAATGAAGATCACAGAGTCATATTACTGGCCTCCCTGCAGGCATTCAGAGGCAGCCAGCCTGATGCTCTCACATTTCTCTGCCTTTCATTGGGAATTGACATGTAGGGGCACATAGACTTGGTCAACATACTTTTAAGAGATGAATTTTTGAATTTAATTAAATAATATTTAATAATGACATAGTTCATTTGCACAGCATATTGCAACATGCAAAAGACTTTCACGTGTATTATGCCATGCAGTACTGAAACACTGGACCTGTCTTTTTGGTTATAGAAATATTTTTTTTTTTATTAGTACAGGTTCATGATTCATAATGAATTATTCACTGTGGGGAACAGGCATATACGCATTTCACATCTTTTTTTTTTTTTTTTTTGGGGGGGGGGTTTTCTCCGGTACCAGGAACCAAACTCATGACCTTGCGCTTGCCAGGCAGGTGCTTTGCCGCTGAGCTAAATCCCCAGCCCTGCATTTCACATCTTGATCATTTTCACTTCTTCCTTACTCCTCCTGCCCACCTTTTCCAGATCCCACAAAGTCTAGATCCCTATCATCTTTCTTATTTTTTAAATTATGTATATTTTGGATTTCCCTTATAAGAGAATCCATACGATATTTAGATATTTACCTTTCTTTTTTCTAGGTTTGGGGTGGGAAACATACCAAGCTGTGTCTGCTTTCTTTCATTTAGCATCATGAACCTACGATGCATCCATTCTCCTACAACTGACTCAAGTTTATCCTTCATGGCTAAGTAGTGCTCTGCTGGCGCGAGGACTGAAGCAGATGTTTTCCATTGTTTTCCCTGACACTGTGATAGAAAGGAAGAGTTGCCATTGGCTCTTTTGCGTATGCCATTATATCTCCATGCTTTTCAGCTTGAGCTAAATCCTTCCCTAATCTAGTGCTCCTCAAAACCCTTTGTGCTTCTTTTATAACCTATCATTAAGCTAAAATGAGGATTCACAGCCATGCACTCGTTAATTCCCTTTATGAGAAGGTGCATTGCTATCAATCTGTGCAGTTCATTCTTTAGTTTGGACTTGCAAGTCACAAACTCTTAGAGCAAGGATGTTACTTTCTCTTCTTTTCTGCAGCAGCTTGAGCCTCCAACAGTGCCCACAGGGGACCATTTGATGATGTTTTGGCAACTGAAAAATATAAGTAGACTACACAATGGTACGGACAAGTAGAAGTCTTTTGAAACTAATATAGGAGAGAAAAAATAAACAACAATGAAGAGGAAGAACTGGATTCCTAAATTTGAATTGAAGAACTGCTTCAGTTCCTGCCCCTGTCTTCAATATACCCAGATGGGCCACATGCCAAATAGCCCCTCTGTGGGCTACACTCTCAGGGGTCTTGGCTAGCCAAGTGAGGGATATGCTGTGTCATTTCAACAACAAAATTCTTTTTGCTGAGTACGGCATGCCTATGTTGTGCATGTGTTCTGTATGCTTGTGTGTTTACTGCAAGACCTAGAAATGATGACCAACCTGACAGGCATCCCTAGTATCCAGATGTGGTTTTGAAATACCATTTCTCACCATAGGAAACTAGAGACATGGATATTTCTAGGTTTGGGGTGGAAAACATACCAAGCGGTGTCTGGAGCATCTTGTCATGTCAGGCAATAGAGAAGGCGTCCAGGATCAGGTCAGAAATACTCCAAGTCAGCCTGAAGAGGGATCTCTTGGCCAAAGAGGAAAACGTGAGCTTCAGAAAGAATAATACCTATTTTTGAAATCCATGCAAGAAGTTGAAATCCATGACTTCACAATGACATAGCTGGCCCTTTCTCTGTGTTCCTGCATCTGTGGGTTCAAACAATTACAGATCAAAAATATTTGGGAAACAAGTTGCATTTGTACTGAATCTGTGCAGACCTTTTTCTTGTTGTTATTCCCTAAAGAACGGAATGTAATGACTACTTGTGAAGCATTTACATGCTCTGTATTAGGTATCATGAGCAATCTAGAGATGATTTACAATATTGGGGAAATGCTCGTAGGTTTTGTGCAAATACCATGTGTTTTCTAAGGGACTTTAGCCTCTGAAGATTTTGGGATCCACACAAGTTCCCAGAATCAAATGCCTGCAGATACAAAGAAATGACTATGTGAAACATTGACCAAGTAGTAGATGAGGGAAGGCATATTTTTATAAATTTATCCCTGTGGAAGAAAAAAATAAATGAAAAGGAATTAAAGAAGTAGCACATCACCACCTTGCAGCCCATTCTGACTGGCTGATCGTGGCAATGCGCATCCGCAGCTGTTATCATCACAAGAGAGAGGCAACCAGAGTTACATGGTGTGTGATAAAAGAACAAACCACCACCGAGAACCTCCCAAACATCAAACTGGAGACTGACCTGTTTTCTGGATCCGGCTCCTATTTGCAGGAAATCTGCAAGACAGAAGAACGTCGTGATTTGTACTATTAGCGTACAATCCACAAAGGTCAGATAGCAGGGAGTCTATAGGTCAACACCCAGAGAAGCAGTAAGAAAAAGAAAGGACTGGAAGAGGAACGCTGCAGAAGAGAAGAGGCTTAAAAGATGCATCGTATATACAAGTGGGAAAGTCTGCACTGCAGTGTTTATGGAAGCATGCTCGGGCTCTAACGCTATAAACATGCATGCATACACGAACGTGGATAACCTCAGAAGCCAGGGGAGTGGTTAACTTTGTGAGGAGGAAGCCACACTGACCAGGCAGGACACATTGAGGAACTCTGGGGGTGGTTGGCAGAGTTCTATTTCTTGACCCGAACAGTGGTTGCTAAGGTGTTCTCCTTCTAACGCCTCATTGAGCTGTGCACCTACTTTGTGTTGTTTCTGTGAATCAGTGTTCTGCTTTATAATGGAAAGGGTAAAAGAGAAGAAAAAGCCATAATCACATTTTTTAATTTACATTTTATGGATTTTATAAAAGGCTTAGGTATTCAAGATCTTATAAGGGAACAATCAGGAACCTGAGCTCTGGGGCCACTCTGACAGGGTCTGCATCCCTCTGAATTCATCTTTTTTTTTTTTTTTTTAAGCTAAGTCCCATTTACCAGCTGCATAGCCCTGAGGAAATTACTCAACTTCTCTGTGTCTCAGTTTTCTCATCTGTAAAATGGGCATCATTATATTTCCTACCTCAGTGTCACTAGAGGATTTGAATGAAGTGACACACATGAGTTTTTAGAAGTCTTTCAGGCATGTAATAAGGGCCCAATACATGGTAGATGTGTTAGTCCTTCTTACCTCCGTTAGTTTTCCTCACAGACTGCACACACCGTCAGTACTATTTTTGTTTTAGGAGACTGGGGCAGAGATCCTTCCTTAGTCCTTGTCTGGGGCCCCCTTGTCCTTTTTTCTCTTCTCTCCACTCTGTATTTAAAGATGCTGGAGGAGGAATCGGATTCAAAATCTCCTTAATGGCCAGAGAGGAGGGCGGGCACTTTTCTTACCTACCGCTGGTTTCCCAGCACCTAGAAAAGTGCCTGAAAGGATGGGTGGAGGGACGCGGAGCACATGATTTCGAGAACGCGCTTTCAGAGTTTCCCTTTCGCGCGAAGTTTGCCCGTGGTCCGTGGCTTTGTTTTGCCTCCTTCCCACCCAGCTGTTTCTCCCCGCTGCTCCCTTTTGATGTCCACTGCTTTGTACCGGTCAGTTAGTGCATACGCGGCGCCACTTGAGAAAACGCACAGATTGTATTTGTTGTTCTTCAGAAAGCCACACACTGACCCAGCCCCGTGCCTGAAACCACCTCGGAGCTCCCTCCTGCCCAGGGGGTGTGGCCATCCTGTCCCCTCTTCCTCCAACGCACTTCCGGTCACTGTTCTCAGGCGTGGCCTAGCCACATCCTGCGGTGCCTGCGTAGATGGGCCGGCTGCGGCAAGGCCTTTCCGGGCCAGCCTGTCATGGGGAGTGGCCTTGTCTCCTGCTCGTCGAGCTCTCCTATTTCCCTTCAGAATAGTGCTTGTAAATACTGTTGCAGACTAGTGAATAAACACATGAGTGAAAGGTGAGGCTCAGGCTGGGGTTAGGGTGGAAGTTTCCACAAGATGAAGATCACAATCTCATGGAGAATGGAGAGCAAGAAGCTGGAATCCAGGGTAAAGATGGGCTCCTCGCTGCCTAAAGGAAATAAGCATCTTTACTGAACGACATGGCTACCGTGAAGCAGAGCCATAACTCTGTCCAGTGATGGCCCATAAAGGAAGATTTGAGTTTGAGGCCTAAGAGTATAACTAAGCACCAGGGCATGGGGAAGGTGGGCGAGGTAGCTGGGCCTCCTTGGTGTCCAATGGGCAGTCCTTGGGATGCTGATCCATGGGCATTAGTGAGGTTACAGAGAGTGACTGATGTCCAAGTCTCACCAGAGGACTTAGAACAGCTGTCCCAACGGGATCCGACAGGATTTCGTGTAGCCTGTGCTTGCGGACGGTACAGCTCAGAAAGGCTTGAACCTGAGCCTTAGTTTTGTCACTCCTAACTGACCTTGAGCAACTTCACTTCTCCACAGTTTGACTTCATTGTCTATAACATGAAGACCAAGTGCCAACCCGCTTTGGGTGTTTAGAGGGTAAAATGAGACCAGACGAAGCGCCTCATTTGATGTTGCTCAAATCTGGCCACACATCAGAACAGTTCACAGAGAATTTAAACAATGCACACACACCTGGGCCCAACGGCTGGAGATTCCAGCCTAGTAAAATTGGGGGGGGTTCCAAGACTGTGGTTAGAAAGACTGCAGCTGACAGCAAGGCTGCGTTGAACAGCATCAGATTGGCATATGTAAGGCCACAAAAAATAGTAGCTTTTTTATCTGTGTTCTCCTCCATGGCCACCAGCTCTTCCTCCTCTTCCTGGTCCTCTCCCCTTTCTCTTTGTTATTAGGCCTAGCACATGAGGCTTCCAAGAAGCAGAGGCCTAGGAAGAAGCAAAAGCTAAAAAGGTACATGTTGGACACCGAGTCCAGCTATGGCCAGATGAAGGCTAGGGGAGCTGAGGTCTTGGTGCTAACTATTCAGCCTTAAAAGTCTGGGACAGCAAGTGCCAAGGAGTGAGAAATTTCTTTTGCACAAAATGACTCATACGCCTTCTAGTGTTTCTATATTTTAAAAATTCTCTTTTTGCTGGAGAGTGTTGGACATTCTTAAAGCATAAGCACATACAAAGCATAGGCATGTTGTAGAGTGGTTTAATTTTCTTGTGTAATGAAAACTTACCAAATGCCTTCTGGATCCAGACTGTTGGGTGGGCTCGGCCCATGGGAGGATGATCTCACACATTAGTTTATTCAACAACACTTAGTGAGCACTGTGACAAGTGCTGTAAGGGTGGGAAAAAGCCCTACCCTCCTGCAGCTTACAGTCTAGTGGTGAGAGATAGGCCATAAAAGAGTGAACATAGTAAACAAATGCAAAACATTACAGTGTAGTAAGATGCTACTTAAAAGTGTTTTATTTCTTAATTTTAGTTTTTTTGTTTTTTGTTTTTTGTTTTTTTTTTTTTTCAGTGCCAGGGATTGAAGCCCAGGATATTGCCCCAGCTAGGTGAGCACTATATCCCAGCACTATATCCCAGAGGGCAAGTGCTCTACTACTGAGCTACACACCTAGGCCTAAAAGCATTTTCACTAAGATGGTTAGGGATAGTGTTGAGTGAGTGCTTGAAGAAAAAGCGGGAATTGTAGATGGGGTCTAGGACAATAGCATTCCTGGCAGGGGACCGGGCCAATATGCAGGGCCCCAGACGTATGGGGTGTGTTTGATGAACAGCTGAGCTTGGGGTACTTTCAGTGAAGTTGAGGAAAGGGGCACCAAATTGAAGAGAAAATGGTTATATTATGTCAGACTTTGTAGGTCATTTTTAGACTTTGGCTTTTAAATTGAGTAAGACAGAAAGCCATTGTATGTGAGGAGAGTGGGGGGTCAGACACAGAGAAGGGAGATGTAGTCAGGGCTTGCAAGGGAATAGATTTAATACAGGACATATAATTTATAGGATTATTTTTATGATATTCACCCAAAAAGTCAAATGCAAAACAGTGAGGGAGATCTGTCCAGGCATTATAGACCAAAGAATCCAGTTGAGGGCCTGGATCCCATGGCTATGTCCTGCATGAGTACAGTTGAAGACCCAGAGCTCATAGCAATGTCCACTACAAGTCCAGCTGGAGGCCTAGAGCCCATGACGATGTCCTCCATGAGTCCAGCTGAAGATGTAGTGGCCATGACAATGTCTCACTTAAGTCTGTGTCAAGGATTTGCACTGGAAAGGCACAAACGTCAGTAGCAAAAGCTAGAACGTCTGCACCAGTAGGGTGAAGGATCTGTGCCAGCAGGCTGAGGGATCAGCACTGGAGCCAGGAAACAATGCTCAAGCTAAGAATTAGAGCTCCCCTGAAGAGAACCGCAGCCATCCTCAGTGACAGTGAGGACTCAAGCTGTTCCAATAATGAGAACAGCCTAGTTCATATCAGGAAAACCAGCATGACAAAAGTTCTCCAGGATGATCAACAGCAAACCGTCTTCCCTTCTAGTTCTGCTTTTATACTGTTGGCAGCAATCCTCAGGAGGGCCATCCACATGCAGAACCATGCTGATTCAGTTCAACTGGGTATTACAAGTTGACCATTAGTCAATCCACTGCAGGAGAGGACTCCTGTGGCAATAGGGGTGCTCTAGTTACGGCACCAAAGGATTTTAGGAGGGCTCTGGTGTCAGAGAGAGGACAAATGACAAAGTGCCTGCAGCAACCCAAGGAGACTCCTGGTGGCTTGGACTATGGTGGTGGCAGTGGAGGTGGCCAGAGGGGAAGATATTTTGGAGGAAATTTGACAGGATTTCCTGTCAGGTTAATTGGGGTGTAAGAAATAGAATATGATGACTGATGCCATGGCTTGTGTTGTTTGTTTTGGTTGGCTTTGTCCTGTTTGTTTGCTTCTCTGTTTTTGCTAGAGCAACTGAAAGGATAGAGTTGCTCTCCTGGTGCGAGGACAGTGGGTGGAGCCAGTTAGTGAAGAAATTTTAAAGTTGTTTTGGGTCATTTGAGTTCAGTGCTCAGTGAAGACATCCAGGAGACGCTGGGGTTACGAGAAGCCTGTAGGCTGGAGGGGCAATCACGTTCCGCACCGCAAGTGTGCAGGGTGTGATCAAAAGGTACAGTGAGAGAAGTTCTTTTTTTTTTTTAAAGAATTTATTGCAGTAAAAGACACATTGCCATTACTGTCTCTCAAGATACTCCCCTTTGCTTTGAGCACACACATCCCAGTGTTCTTGGCACCTTCTGAAGCAGTTCTGGAAGTCTTCTTTCACGAATGTCTTCAGTTGCCCTCTCCTGGCTGCCTGCATATCTTCAATCAATCAAAAATGTTTCTCTTCATGACTTTGGGGAAGAGCCAGAAGTTGTGTGGTATCTGATACAGTGAGTGAGGTGGATGAGGACATAATGTATACTCTTATGAGCCTCCCTTCTGTTGAGTGGCACTTGGAGGCACCAGTCACCATGTTACTGATCACATCTAGAGCGTGTAAAAGGCAGAGACTGTGTGAAGTCACTGTCAGCAAGAGGGGCAGTGGAACAGAGAGCTGAGAAGTGAAAGGATGGGGCTGTTTATCTCCTCAAGATGCCTGGGGTGTGGGGACAGAAGGAACGGGCAGGACGGAGGGGAGTATGAACCAATCTAGGGAGCCCTGGAAGGCGGGGAAGCAGCGAGGTGAGCAAGGTGAGGAGGAGGGTGGCAGGAACGTGGCGGCCAGGTGCTGCTGTTACAGAGGGTGGATTTAGCTACGGTGAGGCTGTCTGTTACCCTGATGAGAGTGCAGAGTGAAAGCCAGCTTGGGTGGATTTAAGGCAGAAGGGAAGGACAGGAACTGGGGACAGAAAAGAGGAACAAAAAGTTAGCTCATAGGAACTGGGTCAAGAGGTTTTCTGTAATTACTGGGCATGATAATAATAACACTTTTGTGTGATGATGAGGCCATTCAATGAGATGAGGGATTCTTGATGCAGAGAGAGTTGCAGGAGCAACACGACAGTAAGTGGGAGGGACGAGCTCTTTGTGCAGATGGGGCTTGGCCCTCCATGGGCACAGAGGGGGAGATGGAGGCAGTTGATATGGGTGCTGATGCTGGCAGGGGTGGTGGTGTGAGTCTGTGGATTTTTTTCCTTATGGACTCAATTTTCTCTGTAAAATAGAAAGCAAGCTCATCATCTGAATGTACGGATGGGGGAGAGGATGACAGAGGCCTAAGAGTGGGTAAGGTGGTATAGGTTCCTTATTCACTGGGAGAGTAGGGAGCCCCTGGACTGTGGAAATGCATCCAGTTGCCAGGCAACACTAAGAGCTCACTGGTGTGCATCATCCTGACAGTAAAGATGGGTGAGTGTCGTTGTGAGTTTATCGCCAGCCATGTGTAGCTTTTGGGTGTAGGCCGAGTTTGCTGGTTTTGCCAGGTGACAAAGCTGG